AATATACACAATCATGGAGGAAACTTCATTACACAACATATCCCTTCCAACATCAAGGTTTCAATCAATGAAGTATAATCTTTAACAACAACTCTCTCATTCCATCATTAACATACTCTTCATCATCATTAACTTACTCATCATCCTTATTAACATGCCAATCATCATCATTATCATTATCATACTCATCATCATTATCGAGATTATCTCAGTTTTCATTATCATCTACCACCCACCAAATCATACACCAACGTACTATAACAATCAATTCATATATTTGGATTAAATTCCCTATTACTTGGGTCGCTTCATGACCCAAATACCATGTTTACATTAATTAGGCTACTAGGTTAGAGTTTACTCATAGTTCATTTCCTAATCCACAAGCTCTTTGCCTTTTCAGGATTCTCCGATTTGCTTCTTTCCTTTAAGTACGAAAATAACAAGTCATTCAGTGAACCATTGCACACAAGAACTCCACAAATTCATAATCGGGTTAAAGTTCCCCAATGGTTCAACGAAAACACGAGATTTAGGGCAAGAATGGGAAGGGTGAAGGGTTAGGGTGCATAAATTTCTCATCCCTCTCTAAAAGTCTCTTCTTTCTAATCCCCCTTCCTCCAATCAAAGGCCGCCAAATTCCCTATCGCAAAACTTTCCTACTTACCCTTCTAACTTAACTGCTACCCATGGTTTCTTTACCCGATTCTTAGGTTAAATTGGTTTAACCTAACCCTAATGAACTTAACCCTTTCCATAACTAATTCATGATTTTAAAACCAATCAAAACATATTATAAAAACGTCATAAACGATCTAAATATGGTTTATATCGTATATGAGGGACGAGAATGTTACAATTAGGTTTTGAGGAACCCTAGATTTGTATGCTACAATGAATTGTATGAACTTGAATTCATGATTGATTGACATTTTATATTCAGTTGAGGTTTTTATTCAGAATTGTTTGAATTCTAATCACATTCCTGCAATTTCAGCTTTAACCTAGAACGATAGTATTTGCATAGGTTAATAAAGCAACATGAATTGGAAGTAGTGAGTTAATTGTGCGAGAGCCAATCGATTCAATGCTCTGTATTGGCGTACAACCCTAGTAGAGGAAGTTTGGATCTTATTGCCTTGGTTAGGTTATTCCAGTGGAGGTTAGTCGCCTACTGGATAATCTATTCAAGAGGGGTTGGAACACTTTAGTCGACACTCCAAACTATTTGAGAACTTTCCACAGTATAAATGTCAACTGAATTGAATTGGGTGAATTGCAACTTGGCCTAACTGCAATCTAGGGAGAATCATACCTAAGTGAGTTCATTAATTAGATTAACTTTAACCGTAGTTTGCTATAGTAGTTATAGTTCTTCTATCTTAATCTGGTTTGCTATATAATGAATCGAAGCGGAGTAATAGTAAATATAGAGACCTCATGAATTCGATATTTATTACTTGCACCGCTATACTGCAATCACTTTCATTGGTTATACTTGGATAATGTTAGGAGTTGTTTTTTAGCGAGTAAGTTGATGAGGTACTAAGGTCCAAATACCATTGGCAAAAAGCGCGCTAAATTCAAAGTGAAGGGATTCTTCCCATTTAGAATATTGAAGTGCCTCCTTGATAGACTTGGGCTCAAGAGGTTTGGTCTTCGTGGTCATAAACAAGTTCTTTTGGTTGAAGATATTGTTTTTTTAATCTAGTGATGATATGGCTAGAGGAGGAGGTGATGATAGCGTAGGAGGATCTATTAAAGAAGTTGCTAAGTGGAGGGATGTCGAAGAGGAAGAAGAAGCACCATTTGTGTGGTGTGATGGTTCAATCTGTGGCCAAGTGTGGGATTGCCGTGAAGTGGAGTGAGACTGACAGAAGGTGATGTGGTAGTGAGGTAAGAGTCTACGCAGGTTGATATGTAGGAGGATTAGTAACAAAACCAGGAAATGTATTCCTTATAAAGCCTAAAACCAAATGTGTCGAGTGAAGTGATAAACAAAGATAATATAATAATGTAAACTCTATAGAACGTATGAGATACTATGAAGAGCCTCAAGCTAGATGAATCGAGTGAAGTGATAAACAAAAATAATATAATAATGAAAACCATCAATAGAAGGAATAAGGACAGGAACCCAAACATCCGATTACACAAGATCAAATGGTCGACTACTTGTCAAATCAGAGACTGAACAAGAAGTTTCTTACTCTTATTGCAAAGACGCGGACCACAAAAAAATCTGACTCCTCAAAGATCGGAGAGAATTAGTATTAAATAAACGAGATATGGAATTAGGTGAGGCATGACCAAGTCGATGATGCCAGGAAGATGAGGAAGTATGAGTGGTGATCAATGCTAGCCGAACCATTCCCACATTCTTAGATAATTCATACACATCACCATTATTCCTTCCCCCACAGAATTGGCGCCTCGTGTTTATATCCTTCACAACAACAAAATCAACGATTGAAATTGGATTGGTGCGCCTAAATTTGCCACTGATAAGAAACTCTTTGTAATCGACGCAACACACAAAATTTAATCCAATTCAATGAATTAACCCCGTTGTGAATTGGAGAAGAAATAATACAAGTAATTTGCAAACCTGCGCCATCCCCATAAAGAATTTCATTAGGACCGTTGTAGTCCGAATAAATAGATAAATTGCCAAGATTCGTGGTGACATAATATATCTTTCCTTTACAAAAGTTATTGAGTCTTGCGCCGTGAATGATCACAAAAAATATAATTATTAGTCTTTGACAATATTATTAAACCAATAAATTCTTCCGGTCAACAACAGGTCAAACCTTAATCCAGTTATTTTATAATTTAATTTAAGAGTTGGACTCTTCAGAATGATAAAATGAAATGAGTTCGAGCCAAACGCAACCAAGATTTCGTAGGGGTGGTAATCGATATGTATCTGGTATAACGATTACCGATTACCCGGTATTCGGTATACCAGGAAATGAAATTGTGACCACCGAATACCGATACCGGTTTTGAGTCGGTATACCGGATATTCGGTAACCGGTATGCCGAACCAAGTGAGTAATACCTAACCTCTTACACCTAGGATGATAAGGGAGCTCCCTTGCTACATCTGCTTTGTCCAGAACATCCACATGTTTTCTTGATACTTTAACTAGCCATTTGGCCTTTATTGTTATTGTTCGACAGACGAATCAGATTTATTTGCAGGGCCTTCTTCGAACTCAATTTCATTTTATATCATAGGGTTCCAATTTCTAGAGTTCCAGGCTCTCCAAATTTCTAGAGTTCCAGTATCAAAGAACATGTACTGGGATTCATACAACCAGACCTAACACACAAATCTAAGGTTCTTCATACCCAAGTGAGTGAGAGAGTTTACTCCATAGAGAGAGAAGAAAAATCTGCTTCATATGCTGAAATCATCATGTGAAGGATGAAAATTTGCTTCTGATAATCAATCGACACTCCTCCAAGCTCCCACCGAGCTCCAATGGTGATGGAAATCGATTTAGGGCACTTGGAAGTTCTGTTCGTCACTCTCTCTAGGTTTTTTGCTTTCTTTCTCTCCAAATCCGATCCCCTTGCAAATTTCCCGAGCGACCTATCAATAGGCAGAGATTCTGCGAGGTACGGCCCGAGTTACGGGCATAACTCGCCTTCCTAGCCTGTAACCTGCTGAAAACGGCCCCGTTGTTGCTATGTCGTCGCCCAGGAGTTACGGTTTCCTTGAGAGAGTTACGGCTTCGGCCGTAACTCAAAGAATGCCCCTGGAACCCTTTTCGTTCTCAAGACTGCAACTTACGGGCTCCTTTGCTAAGGTACGGGCCAGACCGTAACTTGCAAGGTCTGGCCGTAACTTACAGGAGGAAACTGCCCCTTCCGACGGCCCCATTGTTGCTATGTCGTCGCCCAGGAGTTACGGTTTCCTTGAGAGAGTTACGGCTTCGGCCGTAACTCAAAGAATGCCCCTGGAACCCTTTTCGTTCTCAAGACTGCAACTTACGGGCTCCTTTGCTAAGGTACGGGCCAGACCGTAACTTGCAAGGTCTGGCCGTAACTTACAGGAGGAAACTGCCCCTTCCGCTCCAAATTGTCCCGAACTTCGCTCATTCGCGCCCTTTCACGTACTAAGTCCTGAAACATCATAAACAAGCACTACCTAGCGTATAATAGGCCACGAGAGCGTAAAACCAAGCGAGAATGGTCAAGAAATGACGGAAAAAACATGTTGGAATATGCCAATATCAAATTCTGTTCGGCAAAATTCTGGTAAGGGCCGGAGATTCTATTATCCCAAGTTCAGCTGCAGCAAAGCTCGTTTCCATTTTCAGTGAAGTACAGTAATACGTGAGAAGAGTCATAATAGAAGGAGCTCGCAAGTTGCCATGGTGAGTACTGGAGGTTGGCAATCATTTCTACTTGCAGTAGAATGCAAACAGTAACTGGTTACTCGGCTCCTGATCTCAACCTGACAATAGGCGGAGTATACAAGGGCTTAAGTTTGAGTAGAAACTGGTAATTGCAGCATCATTTACTTACACGCGTACACCAAAATCCCATTTCAATGATGGCGGGGGAAACCTAAGATTGAAATTGTGGGTCTTACCTGTATCAAAAATTGTAGTATTTACCCACCAAACTGAAATGGGATTCGGTATTTCCCATATCAATTATTCTTGTTGTGGCATCCGGTATTATGGTACACCGTTTCGCCGTTGGTATATCCCGTTTATTATTTGGTATTACCGATACCATTTTCTGTCTGCCGAATACCGATACTGACTCTAAACATTATACCGAATACCGATGATAACCAATTAAACCGGATACTGGATTACTGATTACCACCCCTAAGATTTCGGTTTCTGGACCAAACTCGGCAAAACTTGCGTCATTAGCAACTTTATTGTTTAAATTTGTTGGTTTTTACTTTTTAAAATTTGGGGGAGTTTTTAAATTTTACAGCCCACGGTAAGTTCTTAAATTTAGGAGGGGGAGGGGGGCGGTTCGGTTAATGTACCATAGAAAGGAAACGCGATATATGGCGGCGAAATTTGGCGCTCAGGAGCAATTTTTAGGTGCCGAAAAGTCTTTATTTCAAGTTTGGGGTTTACATCCACACCCATATCACTCTTTTCATTTCTTGCCTTCATTGATCCTCAGTCTCACCTCCTCGCCGCGGCAAATATACCATCTCCGGCCGAGGGAGCTATGTCGACAATGGCGGAAGACGGGTTCGCTTCTCACAAGAGAGACCCTGTCAAGTCATCAGGTTCACGGTTCACCTTACTACTAGGTTTTCCCTCTTTGTAAAATGTTTTCGAATGATTTGGCAAAGCGGTTTTTCCTAAGCTCAGTAAATGTAAAAGAGGACGAGTATGATGTTTTCTCAAGGAACTCGCTTTGGAGCTGAGGCCGTGGAGTTCAGTTCGTAGTTGATCAGATTTATCGTTTGTTTCTTCTCTAGATTAATTTGTTATTGACTGCCTAGTATCCGATAAAGTTGAGGTTTAATTTGATTGCCTTTCTTTTCTGCTATTTGATTGGTGTCTGGGACGCTTGTTGTTGTTATTTGTTATCATGCGTAGTTGGTGGCGTGGCTTCGCAGAAGAGGCGGCAGCATGCTGTTGCAGTTCGGAAAGAACGAAGAGAGTCCCTGGTCAGGGCAAAGCGCCTGTGCAGAGTTGGGTCTAGCGGTGATGATGCAGATACTCCCCTAAACAATGCGATGATGGTTGATGAAGAAGAATCAGTTTTGGATGCTCAAGCTGCTGCTGCTGTGGAGGAATTGAAGTCTGCTGTTGCTAATCAGTACGTCACCATCTTGGCAGAAAGATTTCCTTTGGGTTTCTCTCCCCTTGGCTTTATAGCTTTTTGTAATGTTGGGTTCGTGTTTGTATATGTTTCTGCTTCCATTGTAATTATTTGTTCTTTTCTTCCAATTATATGCTATATCTTCAGGGGTAAAGGAGCAATGCAGAAGGTAGTTGGCGCCCTTCGTGAACTAAGGCGTGTTCTATCTCGGACTGAATTCCCCCCTATTGAAGCTGCTCTTGAAGCTGGTGCAATGCCCTTACTTGTCCACTGTCTTGCGTTTGGTTCTCCAGATGAACAGGTGTAGAGAAATAACAGAATCTTGCGTTGTCTCTCTGATATGCCTTGAACTGATATTTATACATTTAAGATGTTTGGTTGTATATTGAATGGTGTGATTTGATATTTATTGTTTTGGTTTACCATACTGCAGTTGCTTGAGGCGGCTTGGTGCCTAACAAATATTGCAGCGGGGAAACCAGAAGAAACAAAGGCATTGGTGCCTGCACTACCATTGCTTATTGCTCATCTTGGAGGTTAGTTCTCATGTTTCAGGTCTGCTAGATTTGAGAAGCCATCCTGTACTGCAGTTATCCTGAGAATTATTGTATTGGGTTTTAAGAGTTTGCATTCTGACATTACCTTACTCCCCTGGACCCCTATCCTTTGTGGTGTACGGGAAGGGGGACCCTTACTTCACTAATGGTAACAAGTGAAATTCTTATGAACCGGAATGTGTTCCTTGATTGCACTGTTTGTGGTTGTCTCGTTGTTCAGAAAAGAGTTCCTCGCCTGTTGCTGAGCAGTGTGCATGGGCACTGGGAAATGTTGCTGGCGAAGGAGAGGAGTTACGTAATGTTTTGCTATCCCAAGGAGTCTTATTACCTCTTGCAAGAATGATGCTGCCCAGCAAAGGTTCAACTGTGCGAACAGCTGCTTGGGCACTATCAAACCTGATCAAGGTTTTGAGTTTTTCTCGAGTTTTTTTCTAATTCTGTTTTTCTCTTGAGTTTCTTATGAATTTTCCACAAATTTTTTAATTTAGGTTTCTCTTCAACTAGTATGTATTTTTTATTCCTGCATCTACATTAGACAGTAAGAGACTTTGAATTGAATTGAATTGATGCCGTACGCATGTCCTACTTGACAACTTAGACTCCTAATTTGAATTGATGAAGTTCAATATTAAATGTTTTTGCTAATCTGATGTATTTCCTTTACCAATCTCTTATATTTCATTTACAACATAGCTTCACTGTGTTTTTACGTAGGGACCTGATCCTAAGGCAGCAACAAATCTTATTAGAGTTGACGGAATATTGGATGCCATTACTCGCCACTTGAGGAAAGCGTACGTAGATCCTACTCCTATGGATTAACGTGTGGTCATTCGTTTCATGACCAATATGAATTGCTAAATTGTCTTTTCTGTACTCTTGAGTTTTGTGATTTGATTAGTTCTCCATTTAGTTGTATGGTATACGTCTGCATCTGGCATGACATTTGAGCACTATAAAGGGTAAGATAATAGTGGGAATAGAGGCTCCTGATTTTTGCCGTGCAAGTTGCTTGCGTTGAACATTGTTGGTTACATCTAAATATTGGGGCTGGATCTTATTCCCAACTGAATTGCATTTGTATTCCTAAATAATGGTGGTTTATGCTGATGTCCCTTCTTTCTTAATCTCATTATCTTGAGATGGATATTGTAATTGCTTAAAACTTTATTTTTACCATGTATATGTGCTTTAGTTCTGATTTTCTGAATATGTCAATTTCAGGGATGAGGAGTTGGCAACTGAAGTAGCATGGATAACTGTATATCTCTCAGCTCTGTCAAATCTTGCTACTGCCATGCTAGTAAAGTCCAATGTCCACGAATTGCTCTTGCATAGGCTCGCGACATCAACTAGCTTACAATTGCTTATACCGGTAACATACCCGATTTGCACTCCAGTATATCTGTTATGAAATGGCAGATATATCCTTTCGTAGTTAACGTTGGATGTGATCTGGCATACTATACGTTAATGATTCTGTGTAGAAATCCTTGTGTTATCTGGCATACTATACTATACTATATTGCATATTTGGCTGGAATATTTACATACTGACTGAAGGTGTAACTGCTGTACTTAGTTAATATAGTTCTTTTTTTCCCCATTTAGTTGCTAAGGAGTCTTGGTAACCTAGTGGCCGGAGATTCTCAAACAACTTCTGCCATTTTTATGCCTGGACAGGAGATTACAGGCAAGTGTGATAATAAATGTGAGATTCTGAACTTTCTATCACATTTCGAATCAAGTTGTTGACTAATTGATCGTATTGTCCAGATAATATAATCGGAGTCCTAACTAAATGTCTGAAGAGTGAGCATAGAGTCCTGAAGAAGGTTGGTATATCAGTCACTCCACATCTCCTACTTCTACAAGCCTTTCCCCATGTTCTCATTCGCTCCTGTTTTTTGCCAACAATTTCAGGAAGCTGCTTGGGTGCTGTCCAATGTGGCAGCAGGTTCCGTAGAACACAAGCAACTGATATACAAGAGTGAAGCTGTAATACCGCTGTTACTGCACCTCCTTTCAACAGCGGCATTTGATGTACGAAAAGAAGTGGCTTACACAATAGGCAACCTCTGTGTAGCTGCAGCAAGCGAACAAGATAGTGGGAGGCTAAGCCTGATTCTGGACCACTTGGTCTTCCTCGTTGAAAAAGGCTGTCTTCCTGGTTTTATTGACTTGATTCGATCCGCTGATACTGAAGCTGCAAAGCTAGGACTTCAGTTCATGGAGATGGTAAGCTGAATTTGGTGCAGTTTTCGTTTGATTGAGTGAATAGCAGAGAGAAAGCAAAGCTGAATTGACAGATGGTTCACAAATCACACAAACACACGAATATGCTGACCAGTACACATGTGTTTACACGTTACACTGTGTAAACAGCCAACGCAAATATGTGAACATTTCCATGTCCAAATGCAGGTTCTGAGAGGAATGCCGAATGGCGAAGGACCGAAGCTTGTTGAAAGGGAAGATGGGATTGAAGCCATGGAGAGGTTTCAGTTTCACGAGAACGAGGACTTGAGGAATATGGCTAACGGTTTGGTGGACAGATATTTTGGCGAGGACTATGGTCTCGACCGATAGTGGCCACCTGAATGTTGCGTATATTAACAGGGACATCTCTTTGGACGCTATATTTCTATCCAGCCAATGTAAATTCAAATTGTCAAATCCAATGTACGAGTGGGGCTGGCCTATCAATCTTTTCCTTTGATATTTTGGGTCAGCGGTAAGGAATCGGAAAATTATTACCTTGAAGTCTATGTAGGTTGCATAAACCTTAATTGGTCTTTGTATGGGTTGAGATCTGAGATTAAAAAACTTCTTATTAAAATTACTTTTCTAAATGGATTTTACTTTTTGTGTTTAAATTTGAATTTTTTATAGGGTTAATTGCATGGTTGGTCACTGAGATTACAAAAACACTCAAGTTTTGTCACTCGAATATTTATATCCATTGGTCGTACTTTCCTTTACAAAAATCGTTCACGTTGGGTCACTTTCCGTTAGGTGTCGTCCCTCTTCATTAACGGAGTTCGTTAAGTGATGATGTGGCAGATGAAATCGTCTAATTAGCACTATTTAACTCGAAAATAGTCTGATCTGACTCGCCATGTTATTGAAATCTGCGAGCTCATCTAAACCTACCCAACCCTCTAACCAAACCAGACCCGACGTGACCCAACCAACCCAACTACCCAATCAAATCCCTAAATCGAAGAAAAATCAACAGTACCTTCCTCTTCTCTTCGTCGCTGAAGGGAAAACGATATGATTCTCTTTGCATTCCGTTTTACTTCTCCCCCTCCTCCGTTTCTTACATTCCAATCTCCCACCACCATTCCTCCCTCTTCATAATCTGCAATCACAAATCGGAATCACCCGTCCTTTTGAATTCAAACTTTCTCTTCCATGGTGATGACCTAATCCCCTCTGTTTCTCCTTTCTTTGTTCCTTCTCCCATCCCTTTCTGCAACTTTGGAACCAAACCCAGAAATTCAAATACCCCCTTTCTTGTTGCCGCTGTTGGGTTTCAGAGAACCCGTTTCCCTCGTTAGCGTTTGGAAAACAATGTTATAAATCAAACAGGAAAAATTAGGTTACCGATCTGGCTGAGTCTTGGACTAGGTCGCTCTCTTTAAGACGTTCGCAGCACTGCCTCGTTATTCGCACAACAGACTATCAGTCGGTCGCTTTCAGGATAAAACAACCACTCTTTTGATTTGCTAAGCGTTTTTGTGCGAAAACCGAAGCTCTATGAACTCACTCTCTTTCTCGTGTTTCTGCTCTCCGAGGTATATTTAGAGGGTCTGCGGGGTCTGCTATTTATAGGAGCAGAAAACCCAGAATATTTCCTCTTTTTTTGGGAATAAGTCACATTTTAATTAGGGAGATAATTACTCCCATAATTAAAATATAATCCATTAAGATAATTAATCCAAAATATCTCCATAAAATTCCTTTTATTAATTATCCATCTTATTTTTAATTATGGGAAAATACTGAATAATTAATTAGGAATTTCATTTATAGCTTTTCAAAGCTATTCATCCCAACAATCCCCCACTTGAATAGTTTTGAAACTATCTTGAGCATCAACAGTTCCATAAGATCGGGCATAAGCTAAGGTATCTCGAAGATTTGAACCTTAGCGTAGTGGTTACACTTCCGATTTCATAAGGGTGACTCATAGTCTTGAACCCTATCTCAGACAATGTAGCACACCAGATCTTTTCATTGAATGATATTCTCTCATAGGCCGTGCGTTTATGGCCATGCACGTTATCCCGGTTTAGTGAACGCTCTAGCAACTTTGTGCCTCCAAAGTTTCATAGGGAGCGGCCCCACTCTCACATTCACATAGGTGAGTCTATCAGGAGTACCCCCAAAGTAAAGTACTCCGCCCCATATAGGGTATAGATCTTATTAAGAGTTGTTAACTCAACCTCCATTGCTTTGGGATTCATGCTTCACTAGGCATGAACTTTTCGCATACTACTCATGACTTGTTATTACCCATTGAACCCATTTCTTGGGATCTCCAGTCTATTGGGTCGGGTTACCATCACTTGTAGTCCATGGTTCGGTAGGCATAAGTCCCATACCCTTGGCGGTGGACTTTCTCTCTAGATAATCCTTTCGTCAAAGGATCAGCTAGATTCTGTTAGGACCTTACAGGATCCACCCTCATTGCTTCTATCGTTAGAAGTACTCTTACAGTACTGTGCTTCGACGAATTTGTCGTCTCTTTTCATTCTAGAACTAGTTCCCTTCTTTAGTAATAGCTGCGGTGCTATCACAATGAATCAACTACCGGAGGGATCGGTCTTTCCCATAAGGGAATCTCTAGTAATGACCCTCTCAATCAACTTTTCTCTTTACTATCCATTGCTAGCTCTATCATTTCTGATTTCTTAGTTGATTGAGCCATGATCGTTTACTTCTTAGAATTCCAAGACACAACACTTCCAGTGATGTTTAAAACATGTCCACTGGATGCCTTGGATTCTTCTATAGGGTATTCTCGTCCGCATCAATATACCCTACCAATACAGCCAGAAACCGTTGATATATTATATCAAGGTCTACTGTTCTTAAGGTGTCTCACGAGTCATGACCCCTTTCAATAGCATTTCAATACTTCATATTAGGACAATCAGTAAACCTGCCCACTAAATCGGGTCTTTTGTTTATCAGCTGCCTCTCGCAGACTGTAAATGCTAGTATATTCTAACCGTCTTACACCATCACGTGTGTTCTTTAAAAATTTACACTAGCATCATCAAACATGTATGCAGGTGTACAACTTGTATTTTCCTGGTCATCAGGATCTCCAAACATAAAACTTGTTTCATCCAGATCATTCTCATTCAAAATTCTCAAACAACATGGTTTATCGCAATATTGACATCACGAGTTTTTGTACCAAAGATCGAAATGTCATTCATAATGCAAGTATCATTCTCAAATTTGTACTAAATGGACTTGTCACTTCCATTTTAAAACCATGAGAGAGAATCCGATTATTCATGCTACTGGTCCGAGTCTTTCAAATCCTATCATGATTTGTCTAACCATAGACTCCAGAAGCATGTTCAAGAATAACAACTTCTTAGGTTGTCTCATGTAGATTTCTTTATCTAATTCACCATTAACATTCATATGATACACACCACATGAATGTTCTTATACATATTGGCGAATGGATCTCAAAGAAATCTACAATTTTCCCTTCTTCGCCTAAAGCCTTAGCTACTAGACGATCCTTATACTCATAAACTAAACCATCAGGTTTCGATTTTCTTTTAAAAATCCATTTATTACCCATGGCTTCATTGCCAAGATGTAATTCTCAAAGATGCCAAATCTTGTTCGATTCCATCGCTATATTACCCACGGCTTACGGCCAAGAGGTAACTCTACAAGATTCTAAGTCTTATTTGTAACACCCTACCCTATACGTTTTGCCTAATCATATTGTTCATACAATTGCAGCGGAATTAATCTCGGGTGTTACACTAATTATCAAAATTTACCCAAATAAAATTTCGACATGAATTACTCGCGTAATGGGCTAATAGTTCTTGCAACTTATCCTACAAAATAATTCATCACAAACATATATACTCACAACCATATGCATTGGCTTTTCATAGCCATAGCCACACTTTTCCTACTCCACAACTGCATACCATACTTGTACATACCATAATCGTCACAATTTACACAGTCACACAACATATACACATATCATCAACTTTTCACACCTGTGGATATCTCACACTACATCAGAAGCTAGTATGCACATGAAAAACGTTCTCAAAACATTTTTACAAAAAGGTGTGGATCACTGGCCAAAATCCCGAGTAGTAGTCCAAGCACAGAATAGTTGAAGACCATACCTCATCCTGGCTTCAACTCTAGCTCCTCTCCCACCTAACACTTATCTACTGCTGCTGCTGATGATCTGCTTACACATAGCATAAGCAGAGAAGAAGAATAAAAGAGGGTCAGCTCATAGCTGAGTGAGATAATCATGGCATCGTGAGTTCATAACAGAGCATACCCCTACCATACATCTAGAAAACAAGCCAAAACACTAGGATCGGACCTCAGCCATCCTCATGTCCCAATGGGCAAAAGACTCAACCACCTTGACTTATGCATATGCGTCTTATCATGTTTTACTTATAGGCGCCTGGCTACTCCCATGCTAATTACTCTCCCGGGAATACGGACCAAACATCTCGTGGATGTGGTCATATCGGACCCACCACTGCCGGTGTAGTCATATCGGACCTGACACCACCCTAGGTGTGGTCATATCGGACTCAACACCACTCTGGGTGTGGTCATATCTCATGATGAATCAACGGTCAACACCACATCAGGGTGTGACATAACATATCATAACGGAGTAATAGCATGGGGAGCCCTAATTACTATGTAATTGACCATGAGACCAAATCACTCTTGTTTGGTAATCTTATACATGATCCATATCTCATCTTGCTTAATCATAATTCGTTACTTGCACATGAACTTGACCTGGCCATAATTGGCTCAACATAGGTAAATCAGGAGTCGTATAATTGCACTTCCTCGGGATAAACCCTCGTGCAAGTCATCCTCCTTAAACATCATAATATCACCCTGGGAAGTTTATTTCCCCCACTTGTGGATCCAAATACAACCATAATATCACATCATCTCAAAACACCTTATCGAACAACCATGAAGTCATATCAACAATTAAGCCATAAATGACAACATGTATGCAATTATCAACATAAACAAGGTCCATATCGGCTAGGGCAAGTCAATAATATCATACAACAATCCATGGTTCATCATATAGCATAGAAGTCCATACACCCCTAATCATGCCATTCTAATTCACCTAGGTCAATTCTAAGCATCAATATAATTATCGTGATACGACAAACCCGGTATGCCGTGCTAATCCCTCACTAGTTCTGGTGGTTCAAACACCGGTTCTAGCCTCCCGTACCCCAACTTCACTTTTCTCAAACAAGCCCGGAATCAAAATCCGAGATTACCCTAATATCCCCTGCAGTATCCCCGTCAATATTAGTTCTAGGCTCAGGGTCAAATTCTCGATAAAAACACATCAAACCTTGGCCGGAGCTAAATTCAGCGATTTGGACCCCGACCTAAATAATTGTCGAAATTCAGGGATTAGAACTAGAGGATTGATTACCTCGCTGCAGGAAGCTCGTATATGAAATTTGGGCTCAATCCGGCTTCCTGATACTCCGAAACCCTAATTTGGCTTATCAGGAATTCAAGAAATTCCTGAACCAAAAACTCGTTTTAAAGCTCTAAATCGA